ATGGGAAGGTTTCTGTATTGGCTACTACGACGCTGCCGGCCCCCTGCCCTTGCTCGCCCTGCCTGGCCCCTCCAAGGACATGAAACCAGCTGCAAGGTTTTCTTCAGGCCTGTGTGATGTGTCTGCTCCTACATCTGCTGAGCTCACCTGGTTTTCTGTGGCCTTCAAGGGTTGATTTCCACTTCCCCCATGACTGAGCCAGGGCCCTCTCTTCAGTTCCCATGATGCTCCAGAAACACACCTATTGCACCATAGTATGTACTGAGCATGGTAGTATTCTGTTGGCTCACGCCTCAAGCATGTCACAAGTGCAACTCAGCTGGCCAACCCCGCTCTTTGGAGACCCTCCCCACTCCAGTCTTCATAGTGATCCTCTTGTAACAAGTTGATGTCACTCTTTTCAAAATCTCCCTAACATGGGATTAGCCGTTGGCGTAATGGCTATGTCATTGGACTCCCATGTAGTCGACTGCGGTTTGAGTCCTGGACCCGGTGGCTTAAACTCATGCCAGGTGTGTGTGCGTGCATGTCCAAGATTCCGAGAGGGGAATGGAGGAGAAGGGATTGCGGCGTGGCCATCCCCCTGGGGGGGTGATTTCTTGCTTTCTGTCTCTGTCTCTCTCTTTCTGGCGAGCGCACATGCCCTATAGCAAAAAAACCCCCCCCAAAAACAAAAAACAACAACAACAACAAACTCTCCCAAAAAAAAAAAAACCCTCCCTGACATTTCTCATCCCAGGACAGAATCCACTCTGGGCCTCCCACTAACATTTTCTTTGTCACTGCTCTGGTCACATGGTCTCCTTTTAATCTTTCACCTACTGTCTCAGTCCGTTCTCCGTTGCTTAATAACCAACAGAAATAGGCTTATGTAGTTCATGGTTTTGGAGGTCCAAGGTCAAGGGGCAGTATCTGGTGGCAGTATCATCGAGTCAGTGGGGGGCTCTCTACAGAGGCTGAGACGGAGCAGGGCATCACACACATGGTGAGAAAATGAGAGCTTGGGGGCCAGCAGGTGGTGTGGTGGTTAAGGGTCATGGACTCCCACATGGCCAACCACGGTTTGAGTCTCAGACCTGGCAGCTTGCTTTCTCGCTTTCCCTTTCTCTCTGGTCAAATTAAAATAAATCAATAGTTGAATAATTCTTTTATTTTTAAATGTTGATTTCATTTATATGAAATATGCCAAATAGAACATAGATCAGTGGTTAAACCTAGGGCTGAGGGGATTGAGAGGATATGAAGGATGACTGCTGAAGGGTACACATTTCTTTCTAGGATGTGAAACGTACTCTAAAATTGTGGTAATAGTTGCCAGGTTTCCAGCCAGCCGGGATCATGAGCACACTGCATGTTCAGGTCAACCGGGATCCAAACCAGGGGGCTTTCCCT